ATGCATGTTACATGTAAGGCTATGGTGTAAGCGCCCTCTCAGTAAAAGCTACTGTACAATGCGCCCTCTTGGTCACAGTTGTTGCGCCCACTAGTCAAGGCTATATAGCAGTGCCCTTCCAGTAAAAGCTACTTTACAATGCCCCCTCTTGGTCACAGTTGTTGCGCCCACTAGTCAAGCCTATGGTATGAGCGCCCTCCCAGTAAAAGCTACTTTACAATGCGCCCTCTTGGTCACAGTTGTTGCGCCCACTAGTCAAGGCTATGGTATTAGCGCCCTCCCAGTAAAAGCTACTGTACAATGCGCCTTCTATAGCTAGGTCAAAGTTGTTGCGTCCACTAGTCAAGGCTATGGTATTAGCGCCCTCCCAGTAAAAGCTACTGTACAATGCGCCTTCTATAGCTAGGTCACAGTTGTTGCGCCCACTAGTTAAGGCTATGGTATTAGCGCCCTCCCGGTAAAAGCTACTGTACAATGAGCCCTCTAAGTCATAGTTGTTGCGCCCACTAGTCAAGGCTATGGTATTAGCGCCCTCCCGGTAAAAGCTACTATACAATGAGCCCTCTAAGTCATAGTTGTTGCGTCCACTAGTCAAGGCTTTGGTATTAGCTCCCTCTCAGTAAAACTTACTGTACAATGCGCCCTCATGGTCACAGTTGTTGCGCCCACTAGTCAAGGCTATGATACATGTATTAGCGCCTTCCCGGTAAAAGCTTCTGTTCAGTGCGCCCTCTAGGTCACAGATATTGCGCCCTTTATGTTAAGGCTATAGTATAGGCGCCTTTGATACAACAGAGTATGTTGCAACGGCCTCATTGATACACTTACCGATCGAGTACAGCAGCCCCTGGTGTGACGCTTGTCTATAGACAGTAATCGGATGGAGGGGTCTTACATCAAGTTGTGCCAAATCCAAAATAATTACCGGACCCGATCGCGATTTTATGATCCCATTTAAATCAAGTGTTTACAAATGATGGCGCATGTTAGACAAACAGTCATCATTACCTTTCTTGTTATCTTTTTTATGACGAATTGGTCGCTTAGTATTTCAAAAAAAGCAGATTTAATAAATGTGTTTCTGTTTCGCGTTACTAGCAGTACAGAGCTGAGTGTACGAAACCCACTGTTCAAACAATGCTAAGTGTTTTTTGGTTACAGATCAGGACGAATACCGATCGCTCACTATAATGATGGATTTACAATGTCGAACTAAGCTGGTTAAGTCTGGGTATCGTTTGTGAAATAAACTTAAACCACAAATATTTGAAGATGATAGTTTCATATGGGTATTGAAGAGGCTTACTGCTGTGCCTGGATCTGAGTCTAATCCTCTCTCTCTCTCTCTTAGAGACGCTTGTCATTGAGAGACCACTATTGACTTTTTCAATTTACTTCCTTGGGTAAATTTCAACATTATAAGAATTGATGAATATTGTAAATACCAATCACCAATTATCCTCGGCTAGCTCGCGATCCGTCCCTCGCGCGTCGCGTCAAATTACAATGGCTAACCTAGGTGGCGCTCTCGGGTTTCCAAGTACCCACAAATACACCTCACAACACACTGTCTTTTTCAATAAAATGTATGTAATTTCTGTCCCATTGATCAGCCGTGTACCCAGCATGTCCCCAGGTCGGGTAGCTAAGGCGTCTAGAATTACAACACAACTCATCATCTCGTGTTTCACGTGTTTTAAGCGTATCTTTATCAGACCGTGTTAATCCAACGATGTAGTAAATACATACAATGCAACATTTATGGGCTATAAGTCTACCCTGGACAATCTGAGCCAGCTCTAATATATCTAAGTTCACATTATGATTGTAAATATATTCACATCATATTGGTTTTACGACTTTATGATGAGTATCAAGATTCGTCCATTTACCCCTATCCTACCGATTCCACGCTGTATGCGTCATAAAGAGGCCGGTGCGTTGAGAACTGTCAGAATTCACAATACACGACATTATCCCGATATGAAACATATTTGCACTATAAAAGGACCATGATGGATGGGTTTTCGATAACATTAGAGGACTTTCGGCTTTGCCCACTTAAACGCCAAATTCCATTTCATATATTACCGAAGCAAATTTCTAGATAATGTCATTTACACTTTATATTTATGATTTTACTAGTAAAAGTCAATTATTCAAAGGAGGAGTTTTCAATTCCTTAAATCTCAAATTGAATTTCCAACACTTTCTAATGTTGGAGCGACGTTTATCGGGGAACCGAGGTCGCTTGACTCATAGACTTGGAGATGAAAATCATTATTTTTAATTTTGAAACCTTTCAGACAAGACAACTGTTTGAAGTGTGAAAGGGATGATTCCTGTGATATCAGAATCGACAATTATTGTCATGTTTGCATATGACGATGAAAGGCAAGCTCGAAACGCTTAATCAATTGTAATTTCTGCCTTACTATCGCGTACATAAACAAACATCAATTATTGATGATTCTAAATGTCCCTAAAAAGATGCCATGTCACGCGGTGCATATGCAAAATGATATGGCATAAACTAGCATCTATCACCCGATAGTGAAATATGTCCACTTAACAAATGATACTCCATTTTAGCGATTTTTTCCCAAGAAAGAATAAAAAATCTCACGAAAATCGATATCTGTGGGAAACCTCCAAGATGAGTTGGTTTTCCTCCGGAGATTACAAAATCCATCGCCCGGTCATTGAAACATAACAGGAAGTTGTATACATATATTTGTTGTATTAAACCAAATTTGATTATATATATGTGGGTATTCTTTTAACAAAACAAATTGTCGTGTGTTAGTTAATGCGAAGATAATACGAAATCTAGTGTTACGGCTAAGGAAATGATAAAGGTGTATTCCGGAATCTAACCCGATAAATGGTGTTACATCGTAGTACTATTGATTTCAAGTATCAGCACGTGCATGAAACCTTCACCGAACTCCTAAACGTTTTATTGTAGGCCTACATTACTTTATTGGGTTATAAGGCAATATCGGGGCAGTGGAACACGGATTATGATTCTTTACAAAGTATATAACTCTTCCGCTATCTTTACCCGGAAGTTCGCTTGGAAAATTGCAACAAAAATAATATTTATTGTTTGAGTTGTCTTGTGGTGCACTTTCTTACCCCATATTGCTGAAAATATGCAAATTTTGAGTTTTTCTTATATATTTTTTTATATTTATTCATTATTTTGATCATGAGGAAACATATATTTGTCTTTCACATACCATTTAGCACGACCGCCCTAAGCTTACTCACCAAGAAACTTTCAAATGCTTTTGCATGAACCGTATTCAACAGCACTGGGTCCCTTCGTCGTAATGGGTGGATTGGTCGAGTGGTTAACACTCCGGCCTTCCAAACAGGCGGCCGGGGCTCGATCCCCGAAGTCGCCGTACGCATGGAATATTCAGAGAAAGTGTTTTTCTCCTGACCACACAACTCCAACAACCCAGATGGAGTATAAAATGGTCTGGGGTGGGTGTTGTGGTATCTGTGCTGTAGCGTTCAAGTGAGGTGGCAATATAAATGATGCGGTTGGAAGCACGGTCCCACTACAAACAGAACACATTACATCTCCAGCACACACACAGGCATACACAAATAGGTAGATATTAGCCAGGTGGCATAGGACTAGTAGTTATAGCGCCTGATAAGGCGGCCCCTGCGAATTCCTGAATATTGTATTGAATAATATATTTGCTAATTGTATTGACTGTATAAAATTGTATATTTATGTACTGTAAAGCGCTTTAGAGTGGCTTATGTTAGCTAGATAGGGCGCTATATCAAATGTTGTATATTTATTTATCTATTTAAAGCAGGGCACCGATACAACGCCAGTTTTCAATAACTAATAAAATTATCGAATTTATTCATATATTAGATCAAATAATTAATCTGTTGATGGCGTCATATGAAATATGAATCGTATGTATAAAATTGCCAGGATTAAATTTGGAAAATGTCATTTGAGTTAATGCACTCATCTGCAAGCATGTTGCACCGAAAGACCGCGTCGCGAAGCACATTCGAAACAACTAGACCCCATACTGACTCGACATCACCAAATCTTGAGTTTTAATGTAATTTGTTTGTATGTGAGTGTGAAATATGGACTACCAGTATGAGTAAAGGTGAAAGCTTTGAATCTCAGGTGTGATCAGAATGGGTATTTTCCCAGCAGGCTATCGCACGGGGGGATCAAATCGACACAGGGATGAGAGGGCCCCGCGGGGAGGGGGCAAGCTGATCGTTACTAAGTGGCACCGTACACGTGCTCAACAAGACGGAGAAGGGTAAACATCACAACAAGGGGGAGCTTGGTCAGCAACATGTACCCAAAGGATATAGACTATGGTAGACTATTATCTCGTCGATTAGTGGGGAGGAGGAGAAGGGGGCGGGGGGTGGGGGGGCTGATCTGTTAGCTGATGAAGGGGTGTGAATTTACATGTAGCGTGAACATGTTCTAGTAACACGTGTAGGGCACAGACAAAGCATGCGTACGGCCACTGCAATCGATTCACCCTCCAGTCAGCCTGAACCCACAGTATAAAATTCACGAGAGTTTGTATCATTTTAATATCAAATCGAGTGTGAAGACCCGCGGTCCCTCAGCTATTATTAATACGCTGATTGAAATTAACGCCGATCTCTAGTCTGAATGTTACTGTAAATTGTAGCACCTCCCGTAACGAGAGGAAATTTAATTTGAGTCCCTCCGCCATAATATTGGTGTTGTTTGTTGAATAGAATACAAACAGTGACATTTCTGAAGGATTACTGTTGAATGAACCTAACATAAAATCCCCACAGCGATCATTACACTTGCCATAGAAAAGGGGATTTGTACCTGGGATAACATATCCACGACACGCGATTGAAGCCTCTGATTGGTCGAGACAGATAAAGGGGTGGAGACTAACTCGCGGATAGCCTGCGACGGTAGGATGTACGCTGATACACACACACACAGACAGACACGCGGTAGCGATGTGTAGTTGTAGTGCTATATATACTAGGTAGCGAAAAAACACACAATTTAACACGTAAACTCGACGTGCTGACCACACAGACTGGACATAATGACCATTATTACGTCCTTTTTGTGTGGTCACTCACATGAAATATTTCGGCATCATTCTATAATGTTGTCAGAGAGTTGACTGTTGTCTGTGAACTTCCGCCGCTCAGCTTATAATAACAAAGTTGTGATTTAATTCTCATAGTCAATACAGTGTACAAATATTGATGTATTATTACATTGACAGGGCCATGTGGTGAACCCAGCTTGCCAGAATATCCAGAACCGGACGGTGAAATGACTACAGGAGTACTAAGACCATTGAGATGGATGCGGATCGCTAACCTGCCTAGCACTGTGTTAGATTAATCTCCAATTATCACCGGCGCGATGGCGCAGTCCACAGGTGCATCTGGATTGGTTTAAAACATTTGATTGAGTCGGGCCTTCTCAGACAGTATGGGTGTTCTGACGGGTGTGGTCCTGTCCCTGGCCCTGCTCCTAGGGACGTGTTTGTGCACGGACATCGTATACAGGGTGCCAGAGGAGCAATCGGGCGGAATGTTTATAGGAAATGTGGCACTGGATTCGAATCTGCATTTGAACCTAAGCGATAGTGATTACAGGACATTACGTTATAGTGTGTTGTCTAGTAGTACAGATAACGCGCATCAGTACTTTACTATCAACCAGACCACTGGAAACCTGTATACCGCGTCCCTACTGGATAGGGAGGATATATGTCCTTATACTGACCAATGCAAACTGGACATCGAAATCACCGCCAAATCAGCGATCACAAGTTACTTCAAAAAGTTGATACTTTTGGTATACATTGATGATGTGAACGACAATTATCCAATATTTGACAGGGATTCCCAAACTATATCAATTCCCGAATCGGTGCTTCCAGGAACATCCTACACGTTAGATGGCGCTAAGGATGCCGATCGTAGCGCCAACTATGGTATACACAATTACACTCTGTATCCTCAGGATTTACCGTTTTCTGTTAGTTTTGTGAAGAACTTGGACGGCACGTCTGTTGTTCGTATCATAGTAGACGGTGCTCTAGACCGTGAGTTACGTGAACGTTATGCATTAACACTTGTTGCCAAAGATGGCGGTGTTCCCGCCAAAACGGCGGACCTGGCAGTCCACGTGCACGTGACTGACGTCAATGACAACGCGCCAATGCTAAGCAGAACGACGTACAACTTTACTGTTCAGGAGGACATTCCCGTGGGTAGTACCATACTCACGTTGTACGCCACTGACCTTGACTCTGGACGTAATGGCGAGGTTAGATACAGACTCAGCCCCCACCAGACAGAGGAAATAAAAAACCTGTTTTTCATTAATGCAACATCCGGGGAACTTATTCTAATTAATCCATTGACCTATGTCCGCGGGTCGTCATACAAAATTATCGTAGAGGTCGGTGACCGTGGTCAGCAGCCGATGACCACTCAAACCTACGTTATCATTACAGTGCTTGATTCCAGCAATAACCCACCGGAAATAGTCCTGGGTCTACTAACAAATGGTGTAGCCAGGATTTCCGAGTATGCGCCATTCGGAACTACAGTGGCTCACGTTGCAGTTCTTGATCAGGACTCTGGACACAACGGTATTGTCATGTGTAGCTTAGATAGTACAATATTCGAGTTACAGGTACTTGACGTAAACGAGTACAGAGTACTCGTGTCCCAGGCTCTGGACCGTGAACAGGTAGCAAGGCACAGCATCACAGTCACGTGTCAAGACAGTGGCACACCAATGCTTGTATCCAACGCTAACTTCTTTGTTGATGTTTTGGACGTAAATGACAATCCGCCAATATTCCTCATGCAGACTTACTCCGCCAGCGTCAAGGAAAATAATAAGGTTGGAAAGGAGATTCTTCAGGTTAGTGCCACAGATTACGACGAAGGTCAAAACGCCGAGGTCAAATATCGCTTACTTCATTCGAATGATACCGTTATTCAAGTTGACACATACACAGGTATGATCCGTGCCAACGCCGTTTTCGACCGAGAGCGGATGTCGTCATTCATGTTCAAGGTACTCGCCATTGACGGCGGAAGTCCTCCCAAATCTGGGACGGCGACCGTCTCTGTGACGGTCGAGGACGTCAATGATGAAAAACCGCAATTCCTGGAGAATCTGTTTATATTTAAGCGCAAAGAGAATCGTCAGGCGGGAACGATAGTTGGAAGGTTAATGGCAATGGACGACGATGAGGGGGATAGTGGAAGGGTAGTATTTTCATTGGCGGAGGAGTCGCCGATTTTCAGCACACTTCCGTTTGTCGTGTATTCTGATGGTATTATAAAAACGACGTCAGAGCTAGACCGTGAGAGAAAGAAGTTCTACGACTTCAAAGTAATGGCGTCCGACCTGGGTCGTCCCACGCTTAGTAGTACAGCTAATGTGAAAATATTTATCGAGGATGAAAACGATAACAGTCCTAACATCATATTCCCTAGTTACACGAATAATACAATCGTGATATCGGTTGGAACTCCTCCCGGAAGTGTTGTAGGTACAGTGCGTGCGCAGGACCCAGACGAAGGGTTAAATGGGGAAGTGTCTTATAGTTTCGATGGTGATAACCAAACATCATATTTCAGAATGTTTTCTGAAACTGGAGATGTAATTTTACAAAAAAGTGTTGAATTATTCGCCGGAAGTGTATTTTCTCTAAATATAATCGCAACAGACCAAGGCGACCCGCCAAGACGGTCTCGTCAGACGTTGAAAATCATTATCGGGACATCTGTAGGTGCAAATGAAAACATCAATATAATCATTGTTGTTTCCTTGGTCGGAGTGACGTTAGTGCTATCAACTGGAATAATTCTAGTTATATGTATCATAAGGAGAATAGATACGAACAAAGATAGGTCAAGGAAGCCAACCTCTGACCCCGTCATGGCTAACGGTTTGGCCGGGGTCCCTAATAATACATACGGGACCCTTAACAAACCTGTAGCGGAAGTGATCTCAGAACTAGAGCGGAAGCGGAAGGAAGTGACATTTGCTTTCAGCCCAGACCAACAAATTCCCACTGACGAAACGTATTATGAAGAAAAGGGACATAGACCGATTGGAAAACAATCTTCCTATGGCGTGAGTATTTGATTGTATTTACCTCCTTTTTATTAGTTTTGCGTTTCAATTTAGATCGTTTTTCTCTTCAGCATTTCTGTTTTTCTCCTTTGATTGTTTGTGAAGTTTTTCGTGCTTTGAAATTATAGTGTCGTTCTAGCTGTAACTTCAGTTAAATGGCAAAACATGGAGATGCTATTTTTTTGGCTATGCTATTAAAATGTCACATGACAAGTCTTGTGCAGTGGCTTCCGTCTCTGTTAGATCACGTGACACGACCTCAAAGGACGCGATTTAACAAGCCATTACAGCTTCTCCATACGAATATGCATTTAATTACGATTTCAAAAAGTTAATTCATTTTTGTGAAGTCAAAATGAAGGCAGATTGCCTTAACGTCAATTTCTTCTATGGTATTGCGTTCTCTAATTTGACAAAAACCTTCGAAACATTAAAATATTTCTCCATAATCCAAATAATTCAATCCTGCTGCATTTAGAATCAGAGGTATTTTCTTCAAGAACCCATGTCACAATCGTATTGTAATAATGTGATTGACGCGGTAAAAAATATTTAAAAACAAATCAAAATCAGAGGGATGGATTTTGAACCTTTTGCCTTCCAAGGGCAACTAGGGAAAAATTGACTTAATATATCTGCACTCTTACAATATATATAAAGGCATAATATGTTATGTTTTATTACATGGCGCGGTTCAAATCATGTAAAACAAACTTGAAGGAAGGAAATGTCACTCTAAAATAACACGATAGAACGATTTTGGACCAGCGTGGCGTCCAATTGCATCACATGCTCGTGTGTATATACACTTTAACGTCTGGGTATTGGCGAACTACTTCATTTTGCTCAGCGGGTCGAGATAATAGAGAAGATATGGAGATATACAATCTGCTGTTGTGTATACAGAAAAGCGAGTTTCACTGACATGTAAAAAGCTCGAACCCGGGGGTAAAGAGATAGTCATATAATATTGTGACATTTAACTTTGTTAACGCATGCACCACAACGCTCCAAGTATTTATAACGATAGCGACCTGTAATAACAGGGGTTAGAGTATTGAAGAGAGCGAGGGATCTTGTAACTTGAGGCACTTGATGAAATGTCGCGATAACGATCTTCGCCAATTGCTCGGACGAATCGGCATTATGTCTTGCGTCTGATCTGTAATCTAGGATTTCTATGAATCGCATGAAAATAAATATAAACACAAGTGGTTTCCATTGACGATAGCCTCTGTTCTGTCTTGAGAACAGAAATCGAGAGAAATATTAACTTATGGTTTTAATTTGTCTTATTTGAGGGAGGCGAGAGTTTTGGTCCCGAGAGTGTAGCATGTTTATTTATATAGGACTTCGATGCTATGTAGATCATATTGCAACGAACACCCTCGTCAATCATACACACTATCTTATATAAATAGGTCTAAATATCAAACGCAACCTATTTTATCGATAAAATTGCTCGGTCTTCGCCCTCGTCACTTAACAGATACGAGTGTACCTAAAATTCCTTTCGCACTATTTCTCTCTATTTTTCACGTTTATTCATTAAACTTCGTTTCTCCCCTCTCTTATCATCCCTTTTTCATCTCTCATTGAGCTATCTTAGATATGAATGGGATAAAGTATGATACCAGATACTATTCCACTCCAAAGGCCCGACATTCGAATATCCTGGAGCTATCGCATATAATAACGCTATTTTACTACAGCTTTGCTGTAGTCGAGGCAAATTTAGTCGATAAGCGGTGAATGTTTTTTATATTTGTTTTATGACCGTTGCGAGCTCTCATAATAGTTTTCCGGAATTGTTTTCCGTGAGGAAGGAAACACACATGACCTTCATATTGTCCGTCAATTTACGTATTAACTGTAATGGACATCTCTAAAAATAATTCAAACCTCCCTTACAAATGTATAAGGTGTTGGTGGTATCAATTTTCGCCTCTCGGAAAGCCATTATTGAACCGATTTATATATATACGCACTGAAACTGACACTGCAAATCGGAAAACGGAAATGTATGACTTAATTTGACAGCATCAGACACGACGTAACTTTACGTGTACATTTCAAATAATGGCAGTGAAATGATATTTGGTGATTTACGCGTGGGGCAACATGACATGTTTGAATATTCCGGAGCGTATACTCATGTACAAGCGTTATTCTTTTGTATGATCCAGAATTATAGGGTTTCCGGTGTGTGCCTCGTACACCAACATTTGTATATACGAAGCCGTCAGATTCACTGTATAGTAATTAGCCATTTTAGATTTCACTTTGAAGCTTTACTGGCAAGAATGTAAGATGTTTTTAACTCTTAATTTTAAAATTATTTTTTCCGCAGAATGCATCTAAATTGGGATCGTGCGGATTTTTTAATTTCAGACATTAGGTTTTTATGGGTAAACTAGACAGATAAGCTTTCTCTCTTCCTTTTACAAAAGATTAAAACGCAATTATAATAACGAGCATATTTTTCTAAACATGTAAGTAGGGATATGAAATTGCTTTAAATTTATGATAGCAGAGTGGATGGAAATCAAGCGAAGCATTTACCACTATTTATCTGTCTGAAATATTACTTCCGACATATGTAATTTTTAATCAGACACCCTCTAAAGCTATATCTGATAAAGTCAGACGTGGCCACGAAGGAATTCTTTTTTTAGCTTTACACAAAGTCATGTACTTCAATTTTCAATATTTGGACCGATTCCCCGAAAATAACTTCACGGAGGAGAAAAACTGTCATTCCAGCAGGTTTCGCGTCCCATGCAATTTTTCTCATATCTTTCAAGCGTGATAAACTGGCGTGATTAGGGTTTTCCCTTGTATTAAATTTGATTTAATGATCATGTAGTACATCCCCTATGTGTCCTATTACTTCCCCTCGTTCTGTCGCTAATATTACTCGGCCAATCAGTAGTTTTATGACGGCTACCGACGTGCGCGGCAAATCCCCTGTGGATATTGGATATTGCGATTCTGATATTTGGTTAGTATAGCGGTTGATACCGATACAGCAACCATATATTTAACAAAAACAATTTGGCGATGTATGGATGTTTTGTATGGTGAAAAGTGTATATAATAAATACGAATCATCTAACTATCCACCTCCCTCCCCTCCTCTCCTCCCCCAACACCGCCGACAAAGTCTCGAGTGACGCGCGATGTGGTGAGCGGACGTGTTAATGAATATTACATTATTTCATTTTTAGTTTTTAATAGATAACCTTGAAATTTTGTGCTCATCGTCAGCAGAAATCTGTACATTGTGTCATACGTACAACAGGCAATATTTAAATCAAGGGTCGATAACTCGCCGTGTTAATGAGTACTTCAGAGTAATAGGCGTCTCAAGTGAAACAACGCGATAACAGAAATAGCCGAGGGAGGGGGGCTCTCCGACACCCGGAATCGTCATTATCAACCTCTAAGTACGCTCGCGTGGAAATAGATATGCCCCGAGTGTCGGAGACTCTTCTGTCAACAATACATGGACGGATGCTTTGCAGGGTTCCTGGGCAATGGTTCGAAACTTAAATAAACGCGGTTGAGTGCACGTGGTTAATGGTTTGGACACAAGGGGACAGTCATTATCGGTAAAAGTGCAACATCGTCTCATCTATAAAAGCATTATCAACTTATTCTCCCATTCCGACCCCGCGGGTTTCACCTTTACCTCCACGGCGCCTACAAAACACCTTCCCCGACGGTTGGGGTAATTGCTTACAGTGTCCGGGGGTAGAGGATGTTCACATAAAATTCGTAATTTGTCGACCTGGAACACGTGCGTCAATTTCGATTGTCACGTTAGTGGTAAATCTTGTCAGATTCTAATTGAAACTCGTGGATGACAGGGCCGGTTGTTAATACATTTAGCCGTTCAGTCTTACCTAAAACGCATCGAGGCCCGCGTGTAACGTAGTTCTTAGTACTCTATCATGGACGCGAGATTTATTCTTCCTCTAAAAACAGATATAAATCAAAAAGATAGAGAAGGGTAAATCCGATTAAACCAACGTGAGAGAGAACCTGCCATTCCGCCGTCTGACACTGGGACATGCGCACAACCTGTGACGGATTTCTTTCGGGCTGCCCGGCTTATCCGACGAAATTTTGATTAATTTGGGTAGAAGTTGAAATATCGAAGGTATTTATGTCACATCAAAAGTACATGTCGTGCGTAAACTAGTTTTGGCTGTTACTAATGTAGGAAATGACAATATGAATGATTTCGTGCAGATCCGGAATTGTTTTCCTCCAATAAAATTAATTGTCATGTACCTATCCTTATTTTTCCGTTCAAACCAGGACCAACAGATTTAGTACCTTACATGGTTGCACAAAATAAATTACACTTAATATTTTTGACTAGATCGAAATAATGACATGGTGTGTGAATTTGGTTTTTATTTTTTTATACGAAAACAATGTCCTGATCCTGAACATTTTATAAGGGAGATCACCCAGCCTTCAATCCACCTTGCTTTATTTTGATTGAGTTATTTAAAAATATGTTTGTCATCGTTACAACAATGGCGTATACCACTGCCGACGATTATGATAATATTCACACGAAATCACTTTGTCGGTAAACAAGAAATCTCCACTAAGCTTTCCTTTTATAAAATGGAATTTCCTTCAGTCATGGTTCGCAAGCTATTGTTGTAACAGTTTTATAACTTCAAACATTTCATGACACACAAAATTATCTTTCCCGAACGTGCAACTTTATCTAATATACTTAAAATTGTTTCGTTTCGTTTTGATCTACCGAACCGTAAGACGTACCAACCCTATTGCTGTGTGTATGGCGCATTTGTATAATTTCCGTTTCCGTCTTTGGTTAAATTTAATGGCCACATTTTTATTTTATGTATCAACCGCCCAAAATTTTCAATTATAATGAGCGATGAACTTCCTTGGGATTTTGATGAAAAATCGTACACATTTGTACGCATGTCTGAGTTGAAATGGAGTGATACAAA